AATTACTACAAAAAATATTTATTTGGATTATAATTTATCACCTTAATTTGTAGGCTAAAAAGAAACATTTTAACAACATTTTAATAGCATATTACATTTAATATGCCCTTACATATATTCTGCCTGTATGTAGTCAAACAGCCAGATAAAATGTTTTCTCATAATTTCTTAAGACAAAATGTTGAATGAACATTTTTTTTTCTCCAAAGTTTCTTAACATTTGTTGTTACTACCTAGAGTAAGATTACTTTCTTTATTTCTCCAGCATGTTGACCTACAACTAACTCTAATGTCCATCAGAACATGGGAGCCAAACATGACACAATTTGATGTAACTGCTACTGCATGAGTCTCTTTCCATTTATTTTTATTTTGGCTTCTAAATATTTTTAGAATGTGGCATCACAAATGCTTATATTTCATATATCTAAGACCCTAGGCTGGGGACTGCCTTGGCTGCAGTGGTCACTGCATTCCTCCTTGTAGCTGTGATCTGCACAGACAGCATTACATTTTCACCTGCAGTTTCTTGTACTTGTTTCCTTACTGCTTTGTGCCAGGAGTCCATTAGTAGCAGTTCAGTCATGCTTTCTCAAGGCGCAGTTTTAAGTAAGGCTAAGGCCCAAACACATGATGACTTGATTCTAAATGGATTTTCCTTTCCTTATCTGTTTCTCTGACTCTAATTATCTCAATGTCTCCCTTACAGGATGAACCAACTACTGGAATGGATCCTCAGTCCCGGCGCCTCCTGTGGAACTCCATCGTCAGCGTCCTCAGAGATGGGCGAGCTGTGGTTCTAACCTCACATAGGTAAAAATGGTTAGCATTCAGAATCCCAGAGCAGCTGAAGTTAATCTGCTGCCTTTTATCTCAAACATCTGTTCTTTTTTTTGAAAGTATGGAAGAATGTGAGGCCCTCTGCACTCGTTTAGCCATCATGGTAAAAGGTACCTTCAAATGCCTGGGCACGATTCAGCAGCTAAAATGCAAGTAAGTAAAATATTTTAATGTTTTTTTAATGGGAAACCTTAGTTTATGTGACATGTACTGTTCTTACATGCAATCCAATCTGAAGAGTTGTTATTTAAAGAGATCCATTTCTGGGTGCAGCTCTGTGGTATCCTAGAAAATTTGAGCAGACCTCATTTTGACTCTTAGATGTTACACACCTCAGTAGGGCAAATACAGGACTTCCTACAAAGCTAGATCTTACGCATTATCTTTCAGATACTGTTAATGTTTTCATAGCTGCTGAAAATTAATTTCCTTCCTGAATAATGAATCCATCTCTTCATCCAACTCCCAAATCCACATGTGCTTCCCAGGTTTGGAGATGGCTACATTGTCACTCTGAAAATCAAAGCTCCAAAGCCT